AGCTGACATCATCGGCAGCATCATTATCCCGGGAAAATGAAGGCTGCTCTCTGGATCTCTTTGTTTCCCCCTAAATGCTCTAAAATGTTTTGCATTTTAATCAAAAGCAGAGAAGATGGGAGCCCCTTGGTGCTGTGGGTACCTCGCTCTCTCCTTCCACTCTCACAGGCTCTGGGATTTTAGGTGTGTAAAAGGAGAAAATGGGATTATATTTGAGCTCCCTCTACTTAGGGTTGCCCCGAATCCAGGAGAGCAGGGCACCATCTGACGCCGAAGGGCTTTAGCTGCCGGGATGGGCAGTCACTGCGAGGACAGGTCCGAGTGTGTTGGGAAACTGTAACGTGGTTGAGTTTATTACCCCGTTTATTACACGGCTTTGAGGAAATCTTGGAGAAGAGGCTTCATTCGGCCCTGGGGGCAGGGACTCACCATTTCCCTTTTCCAAGCAGGGAAGGGGGGCTGGGTTGGGCTGGGCTAGATGGTTTGGGGGGCACCGGGGTCTCCGTGGGGATGGCATGGAGGAAGGTGTCTGAAGGGCATTTCATTTCATTCACTCCGGCCCCACTCAGCAGCAGATGAAGATTTCACCAGTCACTTCAGCAAGAGCAAAACCAAACGGGGGACTGGGAGGATCCCTGGGGAGAAGAAAAATAAATGGGGCTGGAGCGTTGCAGCTGTTCTGCACATCCCCAGCGGATTACAGCCATCAGGCCGGCTCACCCCGACGCTGCCACAGCTGCTCTTCCCTGGACCAGCCTTGCAGAAACCTCGTCACGCTCCAGGAAGGGGCTCAGACCCCCCTGCCCAGCCCCTGCCCCTTTCTTCCTGCCCCAAACCAGCCACCCCCACCACCTTTTCTCGCTGCCAGAAAGGTCTGGAGGGGGGAAATGAAGGTGATTTACGGACCGGTGACCTTTAGGGCCAGTGCCCCAGGGAGGCAGGATGAGTGATGGGCAGCGGGGCAGTCACAGCGATGGATCTTGCTGTCGGAAGAGGGCTGGAACGGGGCCGAGCTGCAGGGAGCAGCCGGTGCAAACGTGCAGGTGGCCATGGCGAGACGGTGGCCAATGCGTGTGGGAATCTGCTAGCAGAGGTTTTGGGGAGCAAAGAGGGGAATCTCGTCCCTCAGCAGGAGCCTCGGCTGCTTCCTGGCAGGCAGGAGCAGGCAGCAGCAGGGGCAAAGCTTTGCTGCCTGGATGGGCTCTGGGTTTGCTGAGATTTGGCCGGGGAGCAGAGCGGACACCCTGTGGATGGTCATCTACCTCCGGAAAAGCTGAGCAACCTCCCAAGGCTGTGTTGGTCGCCGGGATGGCTGGATGTCCCCATCCTCATGGCAACCTGCCGCTGTGCCCGTACAGAGCCTGGAAACAGCCATGGGACCGGCAGGGCAGAAAACACCCAGCTCTGCAAACTGACATTTCCATTTTCACCAATTAATAGAAAGACCCCCAGTGTCTTTAAGCACTTGGCGAAGAAACAGGTTATCTTTCCAGGTAGCCGTGAGAGGCAGGGGTCAGCCTCCCTGCTTTACACACGGGGAAACTGAGGCACGGCAGAGTTAGCAGGTGAGATTTCTAACACAACCACTAATATCGTCCCTGCTTGGTATGGGCCAGACACTGGGAGAAGGGAAGAGGGAGGAAAAATCCCCCTGGACCTCATCTGGGCTATGCGCACTCTGAAAACCAGTTGGAAAAGCATCCCATAACAGACTAATCATTGAAGCAATTCAAAACAAAGTCTGCTTCCAAAATGAAAATAAAACTAGCAAAAAGCCCAGACATGAGTCGAGGGAAAACCCCCCCCCCCGCTAGTCCCTCTTCAGCCCGTATCGCCTGCCTTGCTCCGTCCTTATCGATGCCACAACAGATTTGACATTCATTTCCTCCTAACAGCAGAATTCTTGATCCATCAGCAACAAAACTGAATCAATCAGTTCCCAAAAGCCGGGCTGGTGAGAAGAAAGCCAGCCCTGCCCCTGGCATGTGGAATCAATCAATACCTTAAGCAGCAAAATATTGATAATGTAGCTGCCGCGGACATATTTATGTCCTTTATTATATAGGTCATGAGGAGCGATTTTCTCCCCCCTGCCTGGCCCTGCCAGTGTTATTTTAAATTGTACAAAATCTTGCTACTTTCTCAGGGAGGGAAACCACGGTCTATTTTTAATGTCTCAGGATTTTGCCGCGGCTCCATCCCGAGGAGGGATTGAGTTTCCCGGACATGGCTGGTCTCCGCTTGCCGGAGATTCCTTCGGTCAGTCCTTATAAGGAACCAGAGATTCATCTCAGCCGCTACCATGAATCCCCCCTGCTGCAGTCAGGGTGATGGATCACGCTGGAAAGACAGTTAAAGAAAGAAAAAAGGAAAGGGAGGGAGGCTGGGAGCCATCAGGCTGGGGATTAGCAAGAGAAAAAGGGAGGGGGGCATGGAGAGAGGCATTGGAAGAAATTACAGGCATGGAAATCACGGAGTGTAATCGAAACCAGATTGGGACACTTTGATAGTCATGGAAATGGGGTGATTTTTTGGTGAGTTTGGGGAAAGCTGGATTCTTCCTACCCCAGAGCTGTTCTTCTGGGGGGCTTTGAGTCTTCCCCCCAGGCAGGTGCCCAGCAGTGATTTCAGGCCATGTCCATGCCTCGAGGGTATCTGGAGGCCAAACCCAAGCAAAATCTCTGCTTGGAAGCCCTTAAACAGCACTGGGGTTGCCCCATGGCCCCAATCCACGCAGCACCTGGCCACGTGCCCCACGTGTCCCTGAGCCCTTCAGCCAGCCCCACTGCCCTGCACATCCCCAGCGTTGCGGATTCATCCTTCCCTGATCCACTGGCACCACTGACACCAGTGGGCTGTGTCCGTCCCGGTATGTACAAGGGACTGGGGCCGTGGTTTGGTACTGGCTCAGCCGGCACTGGAATGGTGTCATCTCCCTCCCCGAGCCAGGAGGTCAACGTCTGAACCGCCTGGTTTCGATACCGTGGTCCAGCCGAGACCCATCCCCGTGGGAATAACTCCCTGCAGGGCACGGACGCCAAGCTTTCGAGCACTCCCTGTATTTCACAGGCTGCATCCGAAGCAGAGCGCAAATAGGGTGAGCAGACACAAGGCTCGAGTGAGGGAAAAGGGGGAGGTATTAACGGCGATCCCTCCCTGACTCTCTAAATCAAGAGAGCAGTTTTCCCCTGAATGGTAAAACTCAGCCGTGGGCGTACGAGCCCAGAGCCGCCCGGCGTTTACTACGCTTCAGGCAGGGAAGATGCTCGGCAGTTTTTAAACTGTGGTTCGAGATGGAGCTGATCTTCCCACCCCTCCATCACGGAGAACAAACGGGCGATTTCGGAGCTGGCAGAGGCACCGAGCGGAGAACGGGAGCGAAGAGCTCGCCCGTGCGCCTGCTGCACGAGAGCCAGCCTTGGCCTCCATCCTTAAAAGCTTTTAAGCACCTAAATCCCATCGATCGCGAGGAGAACCAGAGGCCCAAGAACCGTGGGGCCCTCGGCTTCCTGCTCTCCAGACGTGGGCTTGGCTCTTGCCAAGTGACCCAAGGCGCAACTTTCTCAGCAAAACTGGCTTAGAGAGTTCAAACAAAACGATTTTTTTCTCCTCTTCTATCTTTTTCTATTGAAAAAAATATAATGAGTTTTCTAAAAGGTGCCTTACTGCCACAAATTCCTCTCTACCCAGCAGAGACTGTCAGTCGAGGAAAGCTTCAATGGCTCCTGGCGGAGTGAAGCCCCTCACTGAAATCAGCAGCTATAACCCCACAGCCTGATTTCCACCCCAAATTTTCTCCCTTTCCCCCTCCAAAGGGACTTTTCCCAGCACAGGGTGGGCACTGGAGGGTCCCCCTCGCCATGTCCCAGAGCAGCCGGGCTCTGCCGCGCGCCAGGACCCATTCCCTGCTCCGAGAATGGTCCCAGCCCACGGCTGCAGGGGCTCTTTCGCTCCTCCCGGGCTTTTCCTTGCAGCTCTTTATTAATGCTCTCAGCCCTGGCCGTGAACAGCCGGGATGATATTTTCCCAAGGTGTATTATTTATTCATCGTTATTTATAACTTACCATTACTGTGTTACTGTCTTTGTCGGGAAAGTAATTACCTATGCTTTTTAGTAAAATCAATAAAAAGTTTGAAGGCAGGAGCTCTCACCGAGTGTTTAACTTGCGCCGTTGCTGGGGGCTCTGATGAGTCCTGGCGGGTGGTAGGAGAGGGGGAAAGCGTCGCCCGCGTTTGCTCGGACACCTCCGGCCTTTGGAAGCAGCTGGGGGAAGACCTGGACGAGCCTGAAGAAAGATAACGATGGGGAGAAACGCTCGCTCCAAGGAGGCTGCGCGCTCTGGCCTTGAGAGAGACTTAATGCAGTATTTCACCAAGCTGTAATTGGGCTTTTGCTAATTAAACCTTCCCATTTCAGGGGAGAAGAGGCACGCCGGCACACAGCTGTCTCTCTCCCCTCCCCAGTGCCTGTGCCCAAGCAGGCGGGAGCCCCACTCTGCCCCTCTGGCAGGGAACCCCCCCGTGCCTGACCCCCCAAGCCCGAAGGGCACTGGGGATAAAACCAGAAGCCCTTTTTCTGATTACAACCAGGCAGCCTGCAGCCAAATCACCCCTCGACCTGCCCTCAGCGAGGCAAACCCAGCACCGTGCCAGCCTCTGCGGCATTGTCACAGAATCACAGAATGGTAGGGGTTGGAAGGGACCTCTGTGGGTCACCCAGTCCAACCCTTCTGCCGAAGAAGGGTCACCCAGAGCAGGCTGCACAGGACCTTGTTCAGGTGGGTCTGGAATATCTCCAGAGAAGGAGACTCCACAGCCTCCCTGGGCAGCCTGGGCCAGGGCTCCATCACCCTCAGAGGGAAGAAG